TCATCTATGTTAGTTTTATGTTAGTTTTGTACTTTGAAAAGTTTGTCCATTCTTTAACAATTTAAAGCTAACGTAGATCATTGCTCAATATGAGCTTTTTCAAAATGACATGCCCAGTCATGTACTTCCTGTAAATTCAAATTCAAAGCATCAATTTGGAGGGAGATGGAGATGAAAAATTTTAAGCCATATATTTTGTGCTATTTGAACTTAATGGCATTGTTGGAATCTGATAAAACCAGTGTGGCTGTGATTAATTATTTGTAAGTTATTGCTTCTATTTCATCATGTTCGTTTTTGTTTCAGATTCTAAAATATATTACAATTTTAAGTCCTCTAGGGAGCTACCATTTGATTTTTATGGGGGGGGCTAGGATGAAAAATTTTGTCCTGCATTTTTTTTTAAGTTGTAATCTCTGTCCTGCCTTTTATTTTTCTCTCTATTCGGTCCTGCCTTTTTTTTTATTAGTTTATCCTGACTTTTTTTACATAAATTGTCATCCTGCCTTTTTTTTTTACAAAGTTGCTCATCCTGCCTTTTTTTTTTAACTCAAAACTCCTTTCCTGCCTTTTTTTCAAATTTTATACTAGCACCTCCCCCCCCCCCCCCCCCCCCCCCCCATAAAAGACAAATGGTAGCTCCCTTATGGGAGTATGCATGTTGCTTCAAATAAGTACTACATGTATATAGATAATTCCTGTTTTAAACTTTTTGAAATACAGTACTTAATCAAAGACATTCATTATGTACTAAACTTGCAAGTCCCTGCACTAGTTTTATAATGTAATGTACTGTTTTTCGTCATTTTTGTTTAAATAACAAAAAAGACAAAATAATATGAAAATCATAAATGACAGTAATAAAGATAAACACTTAACAGATGTGTCATTTATTTTATTTTCAATTATTTAAGATTTTCATTTAAATTTGAAAAATTATCCTATTTTGAAGCAGCCATTTTGTTTTGATCTTTAGATACAATTTAATCATCATCATCTGGAAATAATTATGTAACAAAATCAAATGGGTCAACTAATATTCACGTGTGCAACAGTTTAGGCTAAATTCAGATAGTCATCTTTAAAAATTGGTGTAACGTTTCCAAATCAACTTTGAATTTCATAAAACTCTACAGCCTACTCGTTTATATATTGATCTTACAGAATGCCAGGTTATTTGGTAGTTTGGTGTACATGTATTTCTGACAAATTTAGGGATTCAGTGGCGGATCCAGAAATTTTCATAAGAAGGGGCCCACTGACTGTCTAGGAGGGGGCCTGCTCCAGTCATGCTTCAGGGATTTCCTATGCCTGGGCCCCCTAATATTTCTTCATATGTTTTATGACTTGCATGAATATTGTTAGCACTTCTTAAGCCTCTATGAAAGGCTGGCTGATATAATATGCTATAACTTATGTCTTGAGATAATTTAATTGTGATATTGTATCTGAGGCTGCACATATAAAATCAAATCCATACATGTATATTCATACTGGTTTTAAAATTAATAAAATGTATGTTTCTGATACACACATAAATATATATATGTGGAATTAACTAGCACATTTTGAATTTTGTATTTATACACAAAAGTCTATTCTTTGATTTCCAGACATAAACATGCAAATATTAAAATAGAAAAAGAACCTAAATCAATTTTGATTGTCTTTAAGTTTTAGAGGGGCAAGGACTTTTTTTATAGTTTTTTTTAGATGGGCAAGGACTTTTTTGCAGAATTTAAAAGGATGGGCATGAACTTTTTTAATGAAATAATATTTAGAATGCACCGGCCCATCCATCTGGTAAATATTGAACGGTCCCTGAAACAGTAGTGGGTCTCATTGGGGTCTAAGCGTGACGCGGGATTGCCGATTGTTTGTAAGCGTGACACGTGAAAGTCAAATTATTGTGCCGTGAAAACGGGAAATGAAGTCTGGCGGGACACGGGAAATTACAAAAAAAAGAGAATTGCTTACGTACATAGTGTAAGCGGGATACGGGAATCTGACAAAACAGTAAGCGGGATCCAGGATCAGAACCCCCCAAATGAGAATTCCACAATAGTGTAACATCACAACATAGAAACACACTATAAAATGTCAATTGAAATGGTTTAACTCAAAAGACATATCAACAAAAACAAGTGAACATACACGGAACAAATAAATTTGATCTATGACACAATGTAAATACAAAAATTAATAAAACAAGGGGGTTAGATGTAAAACAATATCAGAAAGACAACGATAACCTTGGACAAAATGCCGCCAAATAAAATAACGTACACAGGTAAATAAAAATAATTTTGTTGTAAGTTATACATAAGGTTCATTTTACAATCACTGATATTTCAATATGAACTAACTAAGCCCACTCAGCCTTGTTTGCAAGGCCAACCGTCCTTAATAGGGTTAGTTTTCATCATACATGCCTTATCAATTTTGCAGAATTCAAAACTATAATTCCAGATTCCAATAATTCCTTGTTTGCTGGCTTATATAGGCAGTAAAGATTCCAAAATAATCATTTTTGCCTTCCTAAAACTTGATGATGTTGATGGATAATTGCTTAGCGTCCAATGGCAAATTAAAATGCATATTCAGGAAAAGAACATGTTAATGTAAAATGAATATTTTAATTTACCCTGCTTTGTACTAGACCGACATGCTGAGCTAGATTTTTAACATGCTAGTTCACAGGGTAATAGTCCGAATATAATAATGCTTAAAATTAATGAAATATAAATGCTTACATATTCAAAATAGTGTAGAACGCCACATGCTGGGTGTTGGCTATGTTTGACATGGGGTAGTGGTTTTGAAAAGGACAAAAAGCAATCAAGGAAAGTAAAAGTATCAAAATTTCTTTTTTGAGAATTGTTAGCACCAAATAATGTATTGCACTGAAGGAACCGAACCATAATCTATTTCCATCAAGCAGAAACAGACGTTTTCAGTTTTCTCAAACACCTCTCCCTAGTTTTCTGTGTTGCAGATTTTGAGACTTCATATGCATGATTCAGGATAAAAAACTACTTTTGGCAATTTTTTCCCGTATGATTTATAAAGAAACTAATTCCTATCATAGAATTTAACCAAATGCCAGCTTCTAAGTCAAAATTTATTGGTTTTAAAGTAAATTTTCCATTGAAATGTAATGTGTCGCTCGGGGTGTCATATTTTGCATCTCTGAAGGGGGGAGGCATTTATTAAAACAAGGATAGACTTGCCGTTAATTCGGTCATTATCCGATAGCTTGCAATTCAAGCAGAAAAAAATGAAGGGTCTGTGTCCTGATTTTCAAGATGTAAGCCATTTAAATTTGGCAGGAAATGATTCTGTAGATTTTTCATACATTTAACATTGGCACCATTTTTCTTTTATCAAATGTGTGACATTTTTCAATGCACCCCTCTAGTTTATTATACACAGGCGTATTAAGGAAATGTAGTCCAGCAGAGTTCTCAAAAAGTGGTGGTCCGAAGGTTTTGCCCACCACCATATTCAAAGGACTGACTATTTTGTTGTTTTTCAATAGAACATACATGTACATGTAATCTATAGTGAGGATCAGCAGATTATCTTCAAGGACTCTGATGAAAACCATTGTTGTTTTTCAATAGAACGTACATGTACATGTAATCTATAGTGAGGATCAGCAGATTATCTTCAAGGACTCTGATGAAAACCAAACGTAATCATGGTAATATGTTGATATTTATATTTTCATGCAGACAACATTGTTTTATTCAAACATTTCTTAGATTTCTGACTTTATTCCCATGACTTTTGTATGTGATCATGTATGTTGAACAAAAAATATTGGACACTGTGACTCTGAAAAGAAACTATCTCTGAACTAAAGATATTTGTAAAACAATTTTTATTGTAATGAGCATGGTCTTGACTAGCATAAAAACTACATATACATTATATTGAGTTATCATATGATTTGTGTATTCCTAGTACAATACATAATTTTACGTATGTATTAATCGGTGTAGTTCTGAATTTTACAAGTTGGTTCTACAATATCATTGAAACTATACGATGGTTCACTCGGCATTAAAAGCCACAATAAATCTAAAATTAAAACTATATGGTGGTTCACTCTGCATTAAAAGCCACAATAAATCCATGATTTAAATATATGTTAAAAGTTTAAAATTTGTATCCCCCCTTTTTTACTAGTATGACATATACTGTACAACTAGAATGTACAATTTGTTCCAGAATTTTGTGTTTACCTGGAGTACATTTGTATATTAGAAACACTGTGAAGGCAATGTTTATTGAGACTATGAAAAAGGGTAGGTACATGTAACTAAACATGCTATAGAATATTTTGACCTAATTTAAAGGAAACGAAAAAAATATGAGTGTCAAGCATTTAATGGCAAAAAAAGTTGTGAATAGTCCTGTTTAAACTAACTTAATTCTTGATATTTTAATGTGGCTCTTTATTCCAGGCTTGTGACTGGCAAGTTGTACTGTTTTCATAATAATAAGCACCTTGGTTTTATTTAGAAATTAAAAATGGGGTATCTTATATCAATGAAAATGATAAAAGACGTAAATATTGGGTCTGCTCTAGATGATGATTGTAAAAATAATTTTTAAAATAGATTTCCTGCATAATGAGGTTATATTATTTAATCACAAAATTTGTAGGCAAATCTAAGCGTACTATCACGATTGTGGGTATTATGGTGCATGAAAATTGGTGAATACAGTATTACTTGGCTGCATTACCCACCTCCCTCCTCAATTTTTTTTTTTTTCTTTCATTTTTTTTTTAAATTTTCTTTTCTTTTTTTGAATTTTCTTTCTTCTCTTTTCTTTTCTTTTCTTTTTTTGAATTTTCTTTCTTTCTTTATTTTTTTTTTTTTTTTTTTTTTCTTTTCATTTTGTTTTCATTTTTTTTCTTTCATTTTTTCTATTCATTACATGTATGTACACAAGTTTCAAGCACATGCATTATTTTTTTCTTTCTTATATAAATATATATATATATATGTATGTACAGTCTTCTTAAACTTGTAGAAGATTTTGAACAATTGTTTTTAGAATCAGAAATCAGTACTGGTGCCCCAACGTTCCAGTAGTTGTTTTGTTTGTTGATGCAATGCATTTTTTGTCTTCATTTGGTTGTATTTTCCAAGCATTGTAAATCCAACAATCATCTTGGATCTCTCATACTGTTTCGTAAAAGACCTGTTTCCTGGATTTTCCATTGCAAGTCTTCAGTATATTGTAAAACTTTTAACTTCTTCACCGGTTCCTAGAATTGTATCAACCAGTGTTGTTGTTATTTTGTCTGGAAAAAATGATTTATTGATTTATAACATTAAAGAAGACTAATGATTTGTAGATCTAATAGAGGTTTTTTTTTAATATATTTTATTGTTTAATGTTGATTATCTGCATAGGGAATCATTTCTATTGGGATATTATGACCAAAAGGCTAGTTTAGCTAGTGTATTTTCATATAGTAGCCTGGGCCCGTATGCATAATTTATAAAGCTACTTAAGTTAAGATTTGTTCCGAATGGACAGATTTTTCTACATGTCCTACAATAAATTAGTACTACGATTGGATTTCTTAACTTAAGTGGTTTATGCATACAGGCCCTTGAGACTCAATACCAATTTGACAAAAAAATGTTTTGGAGCAATATTGCTTCATTCCAAACCCAATTCACATGCAGCTGTGCATATATTTGTGTACATGTACTTTAATATAGGGCACACATGGGCACTGACTAGGATGTAATTGGGCTTGCATGTATTTTCTTGCAATCTCTTGAAAAATCATACATAAACATTTAGAATTAGTAGAAATTAGTGATTTTAAATTGTGGTTAAAAGTACCCCCCATCTTTCCTTATAATACATAACACATTAATGGAACAGTAATTTTGCACACTGCTGAAGCATGTTTTGTTTGAAAACTATATACAGATATATATCTACCTGTTTGTGTACACATGTTTATTATGGATTCAGTTTCTTCATGTTCCTGACAATCTTTCAAACTAAAAGGATCCAAAATCTTCATCTGCATAATAAAAAAAACCTAAGTCCAAATTAAAATTATATGTGTGGTTCCAGTTACATTCTCAAAAAAAGATAGGGTCAGTGTGTTCACGGAGTCCCATTCTGGTATTATACACGCCCCTACCGCAAGTTTGCCATTTTCTATATGTTTGGTTGTGAAATATTACAGACATGTTACGTTTTTAGTTAATTTTGTTGCATTCTGTTAAGAAATTGTTGCATTTTTAGCCGTAGTGGATACTTTTATTGGAATTTCATATGACAGAAGTCTGTGAATTTAATTATTGAAATTCACATTCCATAAAATGGGATCATTCAAAATTTATTTTACAGAATAAAAAAAAAAGTTCTAGGATGGGTCTGGTAACTGGAACCACATATATATTTTTATTTTTCCTGAATTCAAACGGCAATCATGGCAATTGGTCATATTTTAATGGAGGTAGGTTTTGAAAATTAGTATCAAAATGAAGGCAATAGTGTGTGATTTAAAAAGAATTTTTGTTTCTGTTTGTTGTTAACATATAGGTCATTTTTTATGCCAGCACCAAAGCTGAGGGGCATCAAGTGTTACCCTAGCTTGTCTGTCTGTATGTGCATCCCAAAAGTGGTTACCGTTTTTAACTTTAGTTTGCCTCGACCAAATGTTTTGAAACTTATACACAATGCTAATTACCACAAAACACTGTTCAGCTTTGAATTACATTTGAACTTTTACATGTTACATGGACACATTCTCCATTTATTTATCTTATTGCAAATTAGATTATGAAAAAATAAGGATTTTATAAGATTTTTAAACATGGGTTTTTAAACCATATGTAATAAAATTATGAAAAGATAAGTAGGGGTAAGTGGGCAAAATTGTAATGGCATAAAACAAGAGGATTCTGAATATCTGACAAAAAGTTTAAAAAAAAAAAAAAAGGGCGACCATCTTTTAGTATTAATGTGTTTACGACACTTAGACAAAGACTATAACCATATATCCCCTGTGGTGCAAAATAGACAAAAAGAACTTCTGACCAGTCTTTTAAAACTATCAAGCCTAATGCACATTATATTCCTCTCAATTTTTATATTTTTAGATGAAAATAAAATTTGTTTTCAGCAGAGTAGATACCTACTCATTTATGAGAAGTATTAGACCACAAAGTTTTACTCCCCATCCATGAAAACAGTCACTGTAATAACCTAAAAAGGAATTAAAATTGACGCAAATTATATATTCTACAAAAGTGTTAAATTGTTGGCCAAAAAATTAGTTTTCTGACTTAAGATTTCGCATAGCATCAAAACCAATATCTATAAAACCGGGAAAAAAAAACATGTTTTGATTTTGTTTTAACATTAATTTTTTTCTCAATAATCTATGAGTTATCTCCCATTGAATGACACATTCTTGCTGTTTGTTGTACTAGTCTCATCCTGAAGGTGAAATCTATCTCAGATTATATTATTTTATTCATGTTACTGGAAACCAAATATCAAACTGATAAAATAACTTTCTTGGTACTTTGAATGTGGAAAATAAATGTTCTTTGTCGTATTTTCATAAAATTCTATGAAGGTTTGACAAAGTAATTGATAACTAATATTTTAACCTTAAAATTATCTTAGTGAAAACTTTGAAAAAAGTCCATTTATTGCATCTGTTGCAATGAAGGACTGATTTCCAAGTTAAATAAAAATTGATAATTCCCCTTCTCTGATTTTATATACAGCAGTAATAACTAAATAACTAATACCCTACACACATTTGTTCCTTCAATTTGAATTTCAAAATTTTGCTGTGGATTTTTCTGATGTACAATTACTTTAAAGTTTGATAAAGATTTTGATGTTTGAAAACTTTTTAACCATAATACTGAACCTAAATTTGGACGCCTAAAACAAAGTAATGTGAATTGCTATGCCTGGCTTCTGCGACAAAATGTCACAGGCAAAATTAAAGTGCATTTACATAATCTTTAATTGACAAGTTTATAAATCTATGCAATGGTTCTTACCTTAAAAGACAGCTCAAATGACCATTCTAAACAATCCATACTGACAAGCAGTAACTAATGCTAACCTGAAAGTAAAATGCTTAGTCAATCAAAATTGTTCAAAACAGAGGCTCTTAAGAGCATGTGTCGCTCTTCTTCATCTTCAACAATAACCACTTCCTAGTAAAAATCATCACGAAAGGGCAATAACTCTATAAAGAGTAAACTGACGATTTCAGTCATGTTGACATATTTGTAGGTCTGGTCCTGTTGATCATTTTTGCTTTACAAAAGGGCAATAACTCTATAAAGAGTAAACTGACGACTTCAGTCATGTTGACATATTTGTAGGTCTTGTCATACTTTTTTCAAGATAATAGGCAAAAACTAAAAAAACGTGGTAAAAAAACGGCAAAAACTCCATGAACAGGTCGACTTGTTTAATCCAAGGCAGCTTTTTTGTAAATCTTGACTTGCTGATCAATGGTAAAATCGTCATTGAAGGTCAATAACTCCAATAACTAGTCCTCAGAAGATTTCAGTCATTTGACTTTTGTGCATATCTTGTCTTGCTTTTTTTTGTATTAAAATTTCTCTGCATCTATTTTTATTTTCAAAATAATGAATAAAAATGAAAAAAAATGGTAAAACTTCACATTTAAGGGCAATAACTCCTTTAAGAATGTCTGACAGTTTTGACGTAATTGTACAGCTGGTAGATCTCAACATTTTGAACATTTCTTCATTTTCGTGGATTGAGGAACAATTGTATTTTTGTGGGTTTTGATAAAGTTGGCATACAAGCCTATAGAAAATTTATACTACATTGAACATTTATATATGTTGGTCACTTATATATCCATGACTGAAGGTACAGGGCTAAACAATCTCCATGGAATTGAGATGTGCCAATGTTAATACAAATGCAAACCAAATACCATTGACTTTTCATAAGTCGTTCCCTTTAATCAAACCTAAACACAAACATTAACTTGTAAACTATGTAAAAATTTCAAAGTCAATGAACCATAATTAGGGGGTGGGGTTATATAATCTCCATGGAAATAAAACTTGCAAATACCAAATATCATTGATTTAACATAAGTGGTTAATCTTAAACTGACCTAATCACAAATTAATACATGTAAACTAAGCAAAAGTTTTAAAGTCAATAGACCATGACTGAGGGGTAGGGACCAAATATTGTCCATGGAAATGAGATATGCCAATGCTTATACAACTGCATACCAAATATCACTGACCTACCACTAGTGGTTTACCATGAACTAAACCTAATCACAAACTAATACATTGTTGAGTCAATGACCCCGTCGCCGCCGGAAACAGCATACATATGTTTCGCTTTTTGACTCCGTCAAGGCGCGACAAAAATGAGTAACAGAAGATGTGTTGTATACATCAATGTGACAACATCTCAACAACACAAAAATGATACATCCACAGAATTAATTAAAATCTTTAAAACATTCGGTCAAATTTTGGTACTGATATGAAAAAACAAACTTCTGACTTCTTACATCTTCAAGCATAGAGCATATTTTATTTCCTATAAACTTATTTTATGATGAAAATAAAACTTGTTTAAATAGAGGAATTATATACCCACTTAAATATAAGAAATATTATACCACCAAGTCTTACTCCCATCCATGAAAACACTGAAATCACCTAGAAAGGAATTAAAATTGACATAAATGATACATTTACAAATCTTGTTGAAATTGCCAGCCTAAAATTTTCAATGAGTAATCTTCCATTGAATGAAACAGTCTTGCCGTTTGTTGTACTAGTCTCCCCTTGAAGGAAAAATTCTCTCTGAATTTTACTTTTCGTGATTTGAAAGCTTTATTCATGTTCCTGCAAACCATATATTGAATTGATAAATTTATTTTTTTTTTTGTGTTGTAAATGTGAAAAATAAGAAAACGGTTGTTGCCTTCTGTACTTTTATCACATATTTTTAGAGAATATACAGAAATTGTATTGCCTAATTGTACTTACATTATTTCTTTAATGGCCAAACATCAGACTTGGAAGATTATCAATGTAATAATCTTTCTTGGAGCTGCTGTCCTAGCTTCTTTATTTTTTTCATGGCAGACTAGCAGAGCCTCAAAGTTAGTTGAAGATCTATATTACCATCTTCCTTGGAACTACTATCCCTGCATGCTGCTTCATTTTTTTTTCACTCTGCATGTAGATGGAAATCAGATAGTTATTGTATATATGTACCACTCAGAAATAACCTAAAAAGGAATTAAAATTGACATAAATTATACATTTTACAAATCTTGTTGAAATTGCTAGCCTAAAATTTTCAAAGAGTAATCTCCCAATGAATGAAACAGTTGCCGTTTGTTGTACTAGTCTCCCCTTGAAGGAAAAATTCTCTCTGAATTTTACTTTTCGTGATTTAAAAGCTTTATTCATGTTCCTGGAAACAATATATTAAATTGATAAATTCTTTTTTTTATGTGTGTTGTAAATGTTGAAAATAAGAAAACGGTTGTTGCCTTCTGTACTTTTATCACATATTTTTAGAGAATATACAGAAATTGTATTGCCTAATTGTACTTACATTATTTCTTTAATGGCCAAACATCAGACTTGGAAGATGATCAATGTAATAATCTTCCTTGGAGCTGCTGTTTTTGCTTCTTTATTTTTTTCATGGCAGACTCACAGAGCCTCAAAGTTAGTTGAAGATCTATGTTACCATCTTCCTTGGAACTACTATCCCTGCTCAGCTGCTTTATTTTTGTTTCACTCTGCATGTAGATGGAAATCAGATAGTTATTGTATATATGTACCACTCAGAAATAACCTAAAAAGGAATTAAAATTGACATAAATTATACATTTTACAAATCTTGTTGAAATTGCAAGCCTAAAATTTTCAATGAGTAATCTCCCAATGAATGAAACAGTCTTGCCGTTTGTTGTACAAGTCTCCCCTTGAATGAAAAATTCTCTCTGAATTTTACTTTTCGTGATTTGAAAGCTTTATTCATGTTCCTGGAAACAATATATTAAATTGATAAATTCTTTTTTTTTGTGTGTTGTAAATGTTGAAAATAAGAAAACGGTTGTTGCCTTCTGTACTTTTATCACATATTTTTAGAGAATATACAGAAATTGTATTGCCTAATTGTACTTACATTATTTCTTTAATGGCCAAACATCAGACTTGGAAGATTATCAATGTAATAATCTTCCTTGGAGCTGCTGTCCTTGCTTCTTTATTTTTTTCATGGCAGACTCGCAGAGCCTCAAAGTTAGTTGAAGATCTATGTTACCATCCTCCTTGGAACTACTATCCCTGCTCAGCTGCTTTATTTTTTTTCACTCTGCATGTAGATGGAAATCAGATAGTTATTGTATATATGTAACACTCAGAAATAACCTAAAAAAAAATTAAATTGACATAAATTATACATTTTACAAATCTTGTTGAAATTGCCAGCCTAAAATTTTTAATGATTAATCTCCCAATGAACGAAACAGTCTTGCCATTGGTTGTACTAGTCTCCCCTTGAAGGAAAAATTCTCTCTGAATTTTACTTTTTCGTGATTTAAAAGCTTAATTTATGTTCCTGGAAACAATATATTGAATTAATAAATTTTTTTTTTGTGTGTTGTAAATGTGGAAAATAAGAAAACGGTTGTTGCCTTCTGTACTTTTATCACATATTTTTAGAGAATATACAGAACTTGTATTGCCTAATTGTACTTACATTATTTCTTTAATGGCAACACATCAGACTTTGAAGATGATCAATGTAATAATCTTCCTTGGAGCTGTTGTCCTTGCTTCTTTATTTTTTTAATGGCAGAGCCTCAGAGTTAGTTGAAGATCTATGTTACCATCTTTCTTGGAACTGCTATCCCTGAAGCTTAATTTTGTTTTTTCACTCTGCATGTAGATGGAAATCAGATAGTTATTGTATATATGTACCACTCAGAAATAACCTAAAAAAAAGAATTAAAATTGACATAAATTATACATTTTACAAATCTTGTTGAAATTGCCAGCCTAAAATTTCCAATGAGTAATCTCCCAATGAATGAAACAGTCTTGCCGTTTGTTGTACTAGTCTCCCCTTGAAGGAAAAATTCTCTCTGAATTTTACTTTTTGTGATTTAAAAGCTTAATTCATGTTCCTGGAAACCATATATTAAATTGATATCTTCTTTTTTTTTTGTGTTGAAAATGTGAAAAATAAGAAAACGGTTGTTGCCTTCTGTACTTTTATCACATATTTTTAGAGAATATACAGAATTGTATTGCCTAATTGTACTTACATTATTTCTTTAATGGCCAAACATCAGACTTGGAAGATTATCAATGTAATAATCTTCCTTGGAGCTGCTGTCCTTTCTTCTTTATTTTTTTCATGGCAGACTCGCAGAGCCTCAAAGTTAGTTGAAGATCTATGTTACCATCCTCCTTGGAACTACTATCCCTGCTCAGCTGCTTTATTTTTTTTCACTCTGCATGTAGATGGAAATCAGATAGTTATTGTATATATGTACCACTCAGAAATAACCTAAAAAAAAATAAAAATTGACATAAATTATACATTTTACAAATCTTGTTGAAATTGCCAGCCTAAAATTTTCAATGATTAATCTCCCAATGAACGAAACAGTCTTGCCATTGGTTGTACTAGTCTCCCCTTGAAGGAAAAATTCTCTCTGAATTTTACTTTTTCGTGATTTAAAAGCTTAATTTATGTTCCTGGAAACAATATATTGAATTGATAAATTTTTTTTTTGTGTGTTGTAAATGTGGAAAATAAGAAAACGGTTGTTGCCTTCTGTACTTTTATCACATATTTTTAGAGAATATACAGAACTTGTATTGCCTAATTGTACTTACATTATTTCTTTAATGGCAACACATCAGACTTTGAAGATGATCAATGTAATAATCTTCCTTGGAGCTGTTGTCCTTGCTTCTTTATTTTTTTAATGGCAGAGCCTCAGAGTTAGTTGAAGATCTATGTTACCATCTTTCTTGGAACTGCTATCCCTGAAGCTTAATTTTGTTTTTTCACTCTGCATGTAGATGGAAATCAGATAGTTATTGTATATATGTACCACTCAGAAATAACCTAAAAAAAAGAATTAAAATTGACATAAATTATACATTTTACAAATCTTGTTGAAATTGCCAGCCTAAAATTTCCAATGAGTAATCTCCCAATGAAAGAAACAGTCTTGCCGTTTGTTGTACTAGTCTCCCCTTGAAGGAAAAATTCTCTCTGAATTTTACTTTTTGTGATTTAAAAGCTTAATTCATGTTCCTGGAAACCTAAATTAAATTGATAAATTCTTTTTTTTTTGTGTTGAAAATGTGAAAAATAAGAAAACGGTTGTTGCCTTCTGTACTTTTATCACATATTTTTAGAGAATATACAGAATTGTATTGCCTAATTGTACTTACATTATTTCTTTAATGGCCAAACATCAGACTTGGAAGATTATCAATGTAATAATCTTCCTTGGAGCTGCTGTCCTTTCTTCTTTATTTTTTTCATGGCAGACTCGCAGAGCCTCAAAGTTAGTTGAAGATCTATGTTACCATCTTCCTTGGAACTACTATCCCTGCTCAGCTGCTTTATTTTTGTTTCACTCTGCATGTAGATGGAAATCAGATAGTTATTGTATATATGTACCACTCAGAAATAACCTAAAAAAAAAATAAAAATTGACATAAATTATACATTTTACAAATCTTGTTGAAATTGCCAGCCTAAAATTTTCAATGATTAATCTCCCAATGAACGAAACAGTCTTGCCATTGGTTGTACTAGTCTCCCCTTGAAGGAAAAATTCTCTCTGAATTTTACTTTTCGTGATTTAAAAGCTTAATTCATGTTCCTGGAAACAATATATTGAATTGATAAATTTTTTTTTGTGTGTTGTAAATGTGGAAAATAAGAAAACGGTTGTTGCCTTCTGTACTTTTATCACATATTTTTAGAGAATATACAGAACTTGTATTGCCTAATTGTACTTACATTATTTCTTTAATGGCAACACATCAGACTTTGAAGATGATCAATGTAATAATCTTCCTTGGAGCTGTTGTCCTTGCTTCTTTATTTTTTTAATGGCAGAGCCTCAGAGTTAGTTGAAGATCTATGTTACCATCTTTCTTGGAACTGCTATCCCTGAAGCTTAATTTTGTTTTTTCACTCTGCATGTAGATGGAAATCAGATAGTTATTGTATATATGTACCACTCAGAAATAACCTAAAAAAAAATTAAAATTGACATAAATTATACATTTTACAAATCTTGTTGAAATTGCCAGCCTAAAATTTCCAATGAGTAATCTCCCAATGAATGAAACAGTCTTGCCGTTTGTTGTACTAGTCTCCCCTTGAAGGAAAAATTCTCTCTGAATTTTACTTTTTGTGATTTAAAAGCTTAATTCATGTTCCTGGAAACCATATATTAAATTGATATCTTCTTTTTTTTTTGTGTTGAAAATGTGAAAAATAAGAAAACGGTTGTTGCCTTCTGTACTTTTATCACATATTTTTAGAGAATATACAGAATTGTATTGCCTAATTGTACTTACATTATTTCTTTAATGGCCAAACATCAGACTTGGAAGATTATCAATGTAATAATCTTCCTTGGAGCTGCTGTCCTTTCTTCTTTATTTTTTTCATGGCAGACTCGCAGAGCCTCAAAGTTAGTTGAAGATCTATGTTACCATCCTCCTTGGAACTACTATCCCTGCTCAGCTGCTTTATTTTTGTTTCACTCTGCATGTAGATGGAAATCAGATAGTTATTGTATATATGTAACACTCAGAAATAACCTAAAAAAAAATTAAAATTGACATAAATTATACATTTTACAAATCTTGTTGAAATTGCCAGCCTAAAATTTTCAATGATTAATCTCCCAATGAACGAAACAGTCTTGCCATTGGTTGTACTAGTCTCCCCTTGAAGGAAAAATTCTCTCTGAATTTTACTTTTCGTGATTTAAAAGCTTAATTCATGTTCCTGGAAACAATATATTGAATTGATAAATTTTTTTTTGTGTGTTGTAAATGTGGAAAATAAGAAAACAGTTGTTGCCTTCTGTACTTTTATCACATATTTTTAGAGAATATACAGAACTTGTATTGCCTAATTGTACTTACATTATTTCTTTAATGGCCACACATCAGACTTGGAAGATGATCAATGTAATAATCTTCCTTGGAGCTGTTGTCCTTGCTTCTTTATTTTTTTAATGGCAGAGCCTCAGAGTTAGTTGAAGATCTATGTTACCATCTTTCTTGGAACTGCTATCCCTGAAGCTTAATTTTGTTTTTTCACTCTGCATGTAGATGGAAATCAGATAGTTATTGTATATATGTACCACTCAGAAATGACCTAAAAAAGAATTAAAATTGACATAAATTATACATTTTACAAATCTTGTTGAAATTGCCAGCCTAAAATTTTCAATGAGTAATCTCCCAATGAATGAAACAGTCTTGCCGTTTGTTGTACTAGTCTCCCCTTGAAGGAAAAATTCTCTCTGAATTTTACTTTTCGTGATTTGAAAGCTTTATTCATGTTCCTGCAAACCATATATTAAATTGATAAATTCTTTTTTTTTTCTGTTGTAAATGTGAAAAATAAGAAAACGGTTGTTGCCTTCTGTACTTTTATCACATATTTTTAGAGAATATACAGAAATTGTATTGCCTAATTGTACTTACATTATTTCTTTAATGGCCACACATCAGACTTGGAAGATGATCAATGTAATAATCTTCCTTGGAGCTGCTGTTCTTGCTTCTTTATTTTTTTCATGGCAGACTCACAGAGCCTCAGAGTTAGTTGAAGATTTATGTTACCATCTTCCTTGGAACTACTATCCCTGCTCGGCTGCTTTATTTTTTTTTTCACTCTGCATGTAGATGGAAATCAGATAGTTATTGTATATATGTACCACTCAGAAAGGTGTCTGATTCCCCCAAACGTGTCCATATGACGTCAATGAACTGCAAAATATGACTTGTTGCTAAAGGGCATCAAAACGTGTTCTGTTTATGAATGCCCAAACGTATCCAGTCTATATGGAACCAAAGGGTTTTTTTAAAAAGCCCAGAAACAACTTCTGCAGGAAGCCTGTCGTGCAATACCTTCATACATTATAAAGATATTTAGGCATCACCAGAGTATATTAGTACAAAATAATTCACTAAGTAAACGATGATCTACACTGTACAAAACTAGTTAATTGCGTTTTCTGTGTAATAGTTTACTCTATATATGCTTGAAATATTTGCCACTGGCATTAAGCAATCAACGGTCAATAGTTAAATTAAGCTTGCAATAATGCTTAATATAAACAACCGACGTTGAACAAATTAATGCTAATAAATGACCACTGACTGTATTAACAGTGAAGCACTGGGAAAACATGCAATATAAATTGTATTAGATTTCTTAATTATGAAGTACCTCCAACTGTAATTTAAAACAATGACAATTCTATTGATGAAAAATTAATAAACCACTGTAAGTAAAAATAGCTTATTTTGTCATCCTTTTTCTTACACTGTGTCTGTTTATTTAAAAGCAGAAGTCCCGGTGCACATTGTACCATATCTTGGATATTTGTCTATGCGGATTACTATATCTTTCCTCCAGTTGTCCTTAGATAGCTGCTTCGATTTATTTTTAAAATCCAACCCAAACCCGACGTCTTCTATCGTGTCCCCCATCATTATTTAGCCGTAAACTTCACAAGAGACATATAAGCGCTAAAAGTTTTGAGACGTTCTGGTGCTTTAAACTGGACACATTTTGGCGAATAATAATTATTGGACAAGTTTGGGGGAGTGAAATCGGTCACGTTTGGGCGATTTAAGATTCTAAGGACACGTTTGGGGGAAGCGGACATGTTTGGGGGGATGGAAACGTTTGGGAGTGTTACATATATATCATGATTTCTTCAACTACTCTTAAATATGTTCACCAAAGTTAAACTGAATCTTGAACAGTTTGTACATTTACAATTTAACTTTTTTAAATATTACTTTTGCACATATGCAGTTTTAGTTGTTAATTCTACAGGTCTTTGAAGCATTTCATATTAGTGTTGATATATCAAAGGACAGATGGGCATCTCACATCATCCTTTGGGCTCTCAGTTAATTGTCATCTGAGTTTTTGGACATTTAAGAAATTTTATTGTCTGGAGTTAGAAACCAAATTATTTTTATTCCCCCAAGTATTCTGTTGTCTGGTCACTATCTTCAGTTCCAACTTGTTTGGCTGCCATATCTAAAGCTATAGGGAGCCATGCTGTGTTCCTTTGAATTGAAAGGTGTGTCACAGTCTTTGAAGTTTGCTCCTAATTATGAATGGCTAATAAACTTTTAGGCCACAAACGGTCAAAATTATTACACAGATAAGAAGACTAAAAAAAAAAACCCAAAATAATCAACTTTTTCGACAAATTGCACAGACTGTAAGCTTACATGATGTTACTTCTTTCAGTCTTTCTTAAATCACAGAGTACTAGAATGTCTTAACACAGAGTAGGTTACCTATCAAACAGTTCTATACTCTCTAGTCAATTCGGTAACATGAAAATATTAATTTGAAAGCTATAAATATTAAACCCAGTTGTGATTAAAAAACCAAGCAATTTTCCCAGGGGAAACTGATTCTATTATTACCTAACAAGGTTTAACCTAACTCATCTTCATCTTCTATGTACAATGGAACCATCTTCAAGCTGTACCACTGAAACTTCTCGGGCCTGCATTTGTAACAAAAACAAAAATTGTAAGAGAGTGATGTGTTGGATAACTTCTGGCACAAATAATTTACCGTTAATTCAGAAACACTATTGCGAGGTTTTATTAATCTGAATAATGCGACAGGTTGAGTATTGCAATAATAAGAAACTCCGATTCCAATATCTGTATAAAAACTTTCCTGAAATTCAATAATGTCCATAATGTAAAAATCGCAATAATAAATGCACACAATAATTTCTGAATTTACAGAGTTTGCTTTGGTAAGAGAAACACAAAAGTATGAATTGGTGATGAGTATAGATTGTAGGATATCTTTATATATATAACTGCTGGTATATCTGTATTTGACTTCAGTATTGAAGACTTTTTAATAATATAATCATTATATCGAAATTAATGTGCGTGTCAAATTATCAGAAGTTGGTGGCTAACCAAAACAATCTGATGTATACATTTTGAACAGAAATGATTAAAATTCAACTGAATTTCAAACAATCTAAATCAAGTCATATTTTCCAAATTACTTTTTAAAAAATCGACTAAATATGTAGATAAACATTGGCAATCGGAAACTTTACTTTCGTTCAGATGAGACTATTAGAGAAAGGGTTTCCAAATTGTAAATGTTGAGAGACTATTTGCTGTTATAATTAATTCAGAAATTAATGTGATGCATGTTTTAATTCAAATCCTAAATTGGAGTACAAGTATACTTTTTTCATTCGAGTATAAATTTGAAAAAGAAATTTTGGACTAATTTGTAATAAATTTTCAAGCTGTTTCTCCAGGGAAAACTGATTTTATTACCTTACAACTAATAACAGTTTAAGTACAATTGTAACGACAAAATACATACATCATCATCTAGGCATCTACAATTAATCATCTCCAGCTCTAGGAGTGTTATTTCGTCTTCTTCTCTCTGGGCTCCCGTCTATCTGTAATACATATTCAAATCATTTTAATATCTATCAGACAACTATTAATAAATAAAAAAAAAAATATACTTACTTTCTGATGCATATGTTACCTGTCTTGATGTAAATATCCTGGGGCTGGTATCTGAAACAAAAACAAAATAAGTTCAAAAATATTGAACCAAATATAAAACTTAAAAAATTTGCTACTTTAATTTTTTTTTCTTTCAAATTATCTATAAAGAAAAACTGGCATTAATGGCAGCCATCATCATTGGTCAATTGCTCTTTTTGACTGTAAATCATTAACTTATTTTCATTTTAAATCTATATTTCAAACAGTCATGAAGACCGTTTAATGATATAATCATTATTTCCGAAATTAATGTGCGTGTCAAATTATCAGAAGTTGGTGGCTAACCAAAACAATCTGATGTATACATTTTGAACAGAAATGATTAAAATTCAACTGAATTTCAAACAATCTAAATCAAGTCATATTTTCCAAATTACTTTTTAAAAAATCGACTAAATATGTAGATAAACATTAGCAATCGGAAACTTTACTTTCGTTCAGGTGAGACTATTAGAGAAAGGGTTTCCAAATTGTAAATGTTGAGAGACTATTTGCTGTTATAATTAATTCAGAAATTAATGTGATGCATGTTTTAATTCAAATCCTAAATTGGAGTACAAGTATACTTTTTTCATTCGAGTATAAATTTGAAAAAGAAATTTTGGACTAATTTGTAATAAATTTTCAAGCTGTTTCTCCAGGGAAAACTGATTTTATTACCTTACAACTAATAACAGTTTAAGTACAATTGTAACGACAAAATACATACATCATCATCTAGGCATCTACAATTAATCATCTCCAGCTCTAGGAGTGTTATTTCGTCTTCTTCTCTCTGGGCTTCCGTCTATCTGTAATACATATTCAAATCATTTTAATATCTATCAGACAACTATTAATAAATAAAAAAAAAATATACTTACTTTCTGATGCATATGTTACCTGTCCTGATGTAAATATCCTGGGGCTGGTATCTGAAACAAAAACAAAATAAGTTCAAAAATATTGAACCAAATATAAAACTTAAAAAATTTGCTACTTTAATTTTTTTTTCTTTCAAATTATCTATAAAGAAAAACTGGCATTAATGGCAGCCATCATCATTGGTCAATTGCTCTTTTTGACTGTAAATCATTAACTTATTTTCATTTTAAATCTATATTTCAAACAGTCATGAAGACCGTTTAATGATATAATCATTATTTCCGAAATTAATGTGCGTGTCAAATTATCAGAAGTTGGTGGCTAACCAAAACAATCTGATGTATACATTTTGAACAGAAATGATTAAAATTCAACTGAATTTCAAACAATCTAAATCAAGTCATATTTTCCAAATTACTTTTTAAAAAATCGACTAAATATGTAGATAAACATTAGCAATCGGAAACTTTACTTTTGTTCAGGTGAGACTATTAGAGAAAGGGTTTCCAAATTGTAAATGTTGAGAGACTATTTGCTGTTATAATTAATTCAGAAATTAATGTGATGCATGTTTTAATTCAAATCCTAAATTGGAGTACAAGTATACTTTTTTCATTCGAGTATAAATTTGAAAAAGAAATTTTGGACTAATTTGTAATAAATTTTCAAGCTGTTTCTCCAGGGAAAACTGATTTTATTACCTTACAACTAATAACAGTTTAAGTACAATTGTAACGACAAAATACATACATCATCATCTAGGCATCTACAATTAATCATCTCCAGCTCTAGGAGTGTTATTTCGTCTTCTTCTCTCTGGGCTTCCGTCTATCTGTAATACATATTCAAATCATTTTAATATCTATCAGACAACTATTAATAAATAAAAAAACAAATATACTTACTTTCTGATGCATATGTTACCTGTCCTGATGTAAATATCCTGGGGCTGGTATCTGAAACAAAAACAAAATAAGTTCAAAAATATTGAACCAAATATAAAACTTAAAAAATTTGCTACTTTAATTTTATTTTCTTTCAAAATATCTATAAAGAAAAACTGGCATTAATGGCAGCCATCATCATTGGTCAATTGCTCTTTTTGACTGTAAATCATTAACTTATTTTCATTTTAAATCTATATTTCAAACAGTCATGAAGACCGTTTAATGATATAATCATTATTTCCGAAATTAATGTGCGTGTCAAATTATCAGAAGTTGGTGGCTAACCAAAACAATCTGATGTATACATTTTGAACAGAAATGATTAAAATTCAACTGAATTTCAAACAATCTAAATCAAGTCATATTTTCCAAATTACTTTTTAAAAAATCGACTAAATATGTAGATAAACATTGGCAATCGGAAACTTTACTTTCGTTCAGGTGAGACTATTAGAGAAAGGGTTTCCAAATTGTAAATGTTGAGAGACTATTTGCTGTTATAATTAATTCAGAAATTAATGTGATGCATGTTTTAATTCAAATCCTAAATTGGAGTACAAGTATACTTTTTTCATTCGAGTATAAATTTGAAAAAGAAATTTTGGACTAATTTGTAATAAATTTTCAAGCTGTTTCTCCAGGGAGAACTGATTTTATTACCTTACAACTAATAACAGTTTAAGTACAATTGTAACGACAAAATACATACATCATCATCTAGGCATCTACAATTAATCATCTCCAGCTCTAGGAGTGTTATTTCGTCTTCTTCTCTCTGGGCTTCCGTCTATCTGTAATACATATTCAAATCATTTTAATATCTATCAGACAACTATTAATAAATAAAAAAAAAATATACTTACTTTCTGATGCATATGTTACCTGTCCTGATGTAAATATCCTGGGGCTGGTATCTGAAACAAAAACAAAATAAGTTCAAAAATATTGAACCAAATATAAAACTTAAAAAATTTGCTACTATGATTTTTTTTTCTTTCAAAATATCTATAAAGAAAAACTGGCATTAATGGCAGCCATCATCATTGGTCAATTGCTCTTTTTGACTGTAAATCATTAACTTATTTTCATTTTAAATCTATATTTCAAACAGTCATGAAGACCGTTTAATGATATAATCATTATTTCCGAAATTAATGTGCGTGTCAAATTATCAGAAGTTGGTGGCTAACCAAAACAATCTGATGTATACATTTTGAACAGAAATGATTAAAATTCAACTGAATTTCAAACAATCTAAATCAAGTCATATTTTCCAAATTACTTTTTAAAAAATCGACTAAATATGTAGATAAACATTAGCAATCGGAAACTTTACTTTCGTTCAGGTGAGACTATTAGAGAAAGGGTTTCCAAATTGTAAATGTTGAGAGACTATTTGCTGTTATAATTAATTCAGAAATTAATGTGATGCATGTTTTAATTCAAATCCTAAATTGGAGTACAAGTATACTTTTTTCATTCGAGTATAAATTTGAAAAAGAAATTTTGGACTAATTTGTAATAAATTTTCAAGCTGTTTCTCCAGGGAAAACTGATTTTATTACCTTACAACTAATAACAGTTTAAGTACAATTGTAACGACAAAATACATACATCATCATCTAGGCATCTACAATTAATCATCTCCAGCTCTAGGAGTGTTATTTCGTCTTCTTCTCTCTGGGCTTCCGTCTATCTGTAATACATATTCAAATCATTTTAATATCTATCAGACTATTAATAAATAAAAAAAAAATATACTTACTTTCTGATGCATATGTTACCTGTCCTGATGTAAATATCCTGGGGCTGGTATCTGAAACAAAAACAAAATAAGTTCAAAAATATTGAACCAAATATAAAACTTAAAAAATTTGCTACTTTAATTTTTTTTTCTTTCAAAATATCTATAAAGAAAAACTGGCATTAATGGCAGCCATCATCATTGGTCAATTGCTCTTTTTGACTGTAAATCATTAACTTATTTTCATTTTAAATCTATATTTCAAACAGTAATGAAGACCGTTTAATGATATAATCATTATTTCCGAAATTAATGTGCGTGTCAAATTATCAGAAGTTGGTGGCTAACCAAAACAATCTGATGTATACATTTTGAACAGAAATGATTAAAATTCAACTGAATTTCAAACAATCTAAATCAAGTCATATTTTCCAAATTACTTTTTAAAAAATCGACTAAATATGTAGATAAACATTGGCAATCGGAAACTTTACTTTCGTTCAGGTGAGACTATTAGAGAAAGGGTTTCCAAATTGTAAATGTTGAGAGACTATTTGCTGTTATAATTAATTCAGAAATTAATGTGATGCATGTTTTAATTCAAATCCTAAATTGGAGTACAAGTATACTTTTTTCATTCGAGTATAAATTTGAAAAAGAAATTTTGGACTAATTTGTAATAAATTTTCAAGCTGTTTCTCCAGGGAGAACTGATTTTATTACCTTACAACTAATAACAGTTTAAGTACAATTGTAACGACAAAATACATACATCATCATCTAGGCATCTACAATTAATCATCTCCAGCTCTAGGAGTGTTATTTCGTCTTCTTCTCTCTGGGCTTCCGTCTATCTGTAATACATATTCAAATCATTTTAATATCTATCAGACAACTATTAATAAATAAAAAAAAAATATACTTACTTTCTGATGGATATGTTACCTGTCCTGATGTAAATATCCTGGGGCTGGTATCTGAAACAAAAACAAAATAAGTTCAAAAATATTGAACCAAATATAAAACTTAAAAAATTTGCTACTTTGATTTTTTTTTCTTTCAAAATATCTATAAAAAGAAAAACTGGCATTAATGGCAGCCATCATCATTGGTCAATTGCTCTTTTTGACTGTAAATCATTAACTTATTTTCATTTTAAATCTATATTTCAAACAGTCATGAAGACTGTTTAATGATATAATCATTATTTCCGAAATTAATGTGCGTGTCAAATTATCAGAAGTTGGTGGCTAACCAAAACAATCTGATGTATACATTTTGAACAGAAATGATTAAAATTCAACTGAATTTCAAACAATCTAAATCAAGTCATATTTTCCAAATTACTTTTTAAAAAATCGACTAAATATGTAGATAAACATTGGCAATCGGAAACTTTACTTTTGTTCAGGTGAGACTATTAGAGAAAGGGTTTCCAAATTGTAAATGTTGAGAGACTATTTGCTGTTATAATTAATTCAGAAATTAATGTGATGCATGTTTTAATTCAAATCCTAAATTGGAGTACAAGTATACTTTTTTCATTCGAGTATAAATTTGAAAAAGAAATTTTGGACTAATTTGTAATAAATTTTCAAGCTGTTTCTCCAGGGAAAACTGATTTTATTACCTTACAACTAATAACAGTTTAAGTACAATTGTAACGACAAAATACATACATCATCATCTAGGCATCTACAATTAATCATCTCCAGCTCTAGGAGTGTTATTTCGTCTTCTTCTCTCTGGGCTTCCGTCTATCTGTAATACATATTCAAATCATTTTAATATCTATCAGACAACTATTAATAAATAAAAAAAAAATATACTTACTTTCTGATGCATATGTTACCTGTCCTGATGTAAATATCCTGTGGCTGGTATCTGAAACAAAAACAAAATAAGTTCAAAAATATTGAACCAAATATAAAACTTAAAAAATTTGCTACTTTAATTTTTTTTTCTTTCAAAATATCTATAAAGAAAAACTGGCATTAATGGCAGCCATCATCATTGGTCAATTGCTCTTTTTGACTGTAAATCATTAACTTATTTTCATTTTAAATCTATATTTCAAACAGTCATGAAGACCGTTTAATGATATAATCATTATTTCCGAAATTAATGTGCGTGTCAAATTATCAGAAGTTGGTGGCTAACCAAAACAATCTGATGTATACATTTTGAACAGAAATGATTAAAATTCAACTGAATTTCAAACAATCTAAATCAAGTCATATTTTCCAAATTACTTTTTAAAAAATCGACTAAATATGTAGATAAACATTGGCAATCGGAAACTTTACTTTCGTTCATGTGAGACTATTAGAAAAAGGGTTTCCAAATTGTAAATGTTGAGAGACTATTTGCTGTTATAATTAATTCAGAAATTAATGTGATGCATGTTTTAATTCAAATCCTAAATTGGAGTACAAGTATACTTTTTTCATTCGAGTATAAATTTGAAAAAGAAATTTTGGACTAATTTGTAATAAATTTTCAAGCTGTTTCTCCAGGGAAAACTGATTTTATTACCTTACAACTAATAACAGTTTAAGTACAATTGTAACGACAAAATACATACATCATCATCTAGGCATCTACAATTAATCATCTCCAGCTCTAGGAGTGTTATTTCGTCTTCTTCTCTCTGGGCTTCCGTCTATCTGTAATACATATTCAAATCATTTTAATATCTATCAGACAACTATTAATAAATAAAAAAAAAATATACTTACTTTCTGATGCATATGTTACCTGTCCTGATGTAAATATCCTGTGGCTGGTATCTGAAACAAAAACAAAATAAGTTCAAAAATATTGAACCAAATATAAAACTTAAAAAATTTGCTACTTTAATTTTTTTTTCTTTCAAAATATCTATAAAGAAAAACTGGCATTAATGGCAGCCATCATCATTGGTCAATTGCTCTTTTTGACTGTAAATCATTAACTTATTTTCATTTTAAATCTATATTTCAAACAGTCATGAAGACCGTTTAATGATATAATCATTATTTCCGAAATTAATGTGCGTGTCAAATTATCAGAAGTTGGTGGCTAACCAAAACAATCTGATGTATACATTTTGAACAGAAATGATTAAAATTCAACTGAATTTCAAACAATCTAAATCAAGTCATATTTTCCAAATTACTTTTTAAAAAATCGACTAAATATGTAGATAAACATTGGCAATTGGAAACTTTACTTTCGTTCAGGTGAGACTATTAGAGAAAGGGTTTCCAAATTGTAAATGTTGAGAGACTATTTGCTGTTATAATTAATTCAGAAATTAATGTGATGCATGTTTTAATTCAAATCCTAAATTGGAGTACAAGTATACTTTTTTCATTCGAGTATAAATTTGAAAAAGAAATTTTGGACTAATTTGTAATAAATTTTCAAGCTGTTTCTCCAGGGAAAACTGATTTTATTACCTTACAACTAATAACAGTTTAAGTACAATTGTAACGACAAAATACATACATCATCATCTAGGCATCTACAATTAATCATCTCCAGCTCTAGGAGTGTTATTTCGTCTTCTTCTCTCTGGGCTTCCGTCTATCTGTAATACATATTCAAATCATTTTAATATCTATCAGACAACTATTAATAAATAAAAAAAAAATATACTTACTTTCTGATGCATATGTTACCTGTCCTGATGTAAATATCCTGGGGCTGGTATCTGAAACAAAAACAAAATAAGTTCAAAAATATTGAACCAAATATAAAACTTAAAAAATTTGCTACTTTAATTTTTTTTTCTTTCAAAATATCTATAAAGAAAAACTGGCATTAATGGCAGCCATCATCATTGGTCAATTGCTCTTTTTTGACTGTAAATCATTAACTTATTTTCATTTTAAATCTATATTTCAAACAGTAATGAAGACCGTTTAATGATATAATCATTATTTCCGAAATTAATGTGCGTGTCAAATTATCAGAAGTTGGTGGCTAACCAAAACAATCTGATGTATACATTTTGAACAGAAATGATTAAAATTCAACTGAATTTCAAACAATCTAAATCAAGTCATATTTTCCAAATTACTTTTTAAAAAATCAACTAAATATGTAGATAAACATTGGCAATCGGAAACTTTACTTTTGTTCAGGTGAGACTATTAGAGAAAGGGTTTCCAAATTGTAAAAGTTGAG